AGACTCAAGCCTTTACAGAGCACTTCGATTTCAAATTTAAGATTCAGTTTGAGCTCCGCGTTGTGGTATAATTCGATCAAAAGATGAATGATATCCATAAGCCACGGATTTGGTGGTTTGAAGACGACCGAGTTTCTGCCTTCGAAGAGAACTTTGCAAACAAATGGAATGACAACAATGAGTCTTTGCGTATCGCAAGCCTCGAGTAATAGCTGCTTGAAGGCAATGTTCCTGTGCTTGACGGGCTTATCATTAGCAAGTGTCATAGAGCCCAACCAACCACCGAGATTTTTCAAATGCGTGCGGTCGATTGAAGACTGCAAAGTGCTTTCAGCATTAAGCAGCTTGGAAACACTGATAAAAGTCTCTCTTAATAACTGGTTCCATAGAATCTTGTCTTCGAAAAGCTTGACTAGCTTAAGATATAGGACGTGGTAGTTAGGCTGAACTTTAGCTCGTTCCTCTACTAAATGGCCAGCGAACCACCTTTGATTTGTCTCATCAAGGGCGCTCTTTAATTCGACGAATTTCGATTGCACGTTGACCTCGGTGATGTTGTTCAACAAAAACTGCACTTTGCCTTGTGCTTCGGAGACGGGGTCTTTGAAGTCTGCATTTGGAGGGAGAGGGTCCACGTTGATAGAGGCGAATGGTGGTGCGGAAGGTTCAGCGGAGAGCAGTACGTCGATATTGCCATTTGTAATTCCCCCCCCATTCATTAAGTCGTTGTGTCCGTTGCGCAACATGTCTTCTTGTTGGTCGTGTATAACATTTTGTGCTCTTTTCCAGGGTTCCGTACCTTCGAGACCAGGCACTTGCAGCAACTGATGGCAGAATCCAGGCCATTCCGATAAACGAGGTATGAATTGCAATAAAGCTTGTAGTCCGAATTTGTACATAGATTCTTCTGGGAGGTGATCTCGGACTGCTTCAAGAATCATGCCTAGACCAATCTCAAGAGGTAGGTCGGCAATGAGCTTATTTTGGATGATACCACCGAATAAAACGGCGGTTGTTGCAAGAGCCTCAAGCGGATAGGTAGAATAGAGGGTGTATTCGTCAAAAAGACCATGTATCATGCAGGCAAATACATCTTGCTGGTAGGGGTCAGGAGCAGATTTGTAACCAGCCAATGCATCGACTATTTGCCGAACCTTGAGCTCTTGACTATACATTTGCTTGTAATGCTGTTCCATCATGTGTTGTGCGTTTTCGCTTAGCATGTTGGTTACCAAGCCGTTGTTATCAATAATTCGGTCTAGCTCGTCATCCTGGCCATAGTTTATCAAACGAGGGTAGGCAGTGATACAGGTCCGCTGCACGGCGATCAGTTCTGCGGAAGGCTCCTTTGGTAGAATCTCCTCCAAGACATTCAACATGGCGAATACAGTTTTAACAGGTAGCATTATACTGTGTGGCTGCGAAGTTTTTTGACATACAATCTCGTGTTGAGCTTTGATACTCAGGAAAGTCAATAAAGCCGTGCCAAGTTCCTCCTCTCGTGGCGAATTCGTAGCCTTCCAGTCTTTGATATCCAGATAGCTACGGGAGTGTGCTAGGGCAGCAAGATCGAGGCCGAAGCCGTTAAGCATAGAGGCCAATTCATGAAGCCAGTCATGCTTTATTGCATGCTCTAATATAAGAGGAAGCTCGAGAGGTGCTTTAACATGTGCGTCCATCAAGCGTTGTGCCACCCAGGTCTTATCCTTTCGCCATAAGCTTGCTAAGACAAAATCATAGTGACCATCGACCCTGAATAGAAAGCGTTCGAAAAGATTGTTGATCGTCTCCACTGCTAACTCGGGCCACGGTCGCGGTACGCCGAATGCTGAGACTAAGAATATATCTAGGTTTGGTACAACCACTTCTTGGAACAATCGTTTCGCTTCAACTGTTTCTGAGTATTGGGTCTCCCTGAGAGCAACGATGAAGACGGATGTTAATGTGATAACGGACACAAGCGGATGTCTTACTGCCCATTCAGCACGCTCTCGAACCTCTGGCTTAGCATCGGCATAGTCGTCCAGCGTGAATGATGGCCTAAGCTTTGGAATGGTGGAAGCATCAAGCTCGTGAGGATTTAAGGATGCATATGCGCTGATGAAGGAAAGCTGGGTTTCAGTATTTTGCCAGACACCACCAAGCAGTTGTGGAATAATTGCAGGGTCTTCAAGCGCAATTGGTCGAATAGCTTCGTAAACGGCTAGAAATTGTTGTGGAGATATTCTTAGATCTGGTGTATCGAAATGCTGTACAACTTGCAGCCAACTGAACCCTGCGGGAACTTCCTTCCGAAGACTGCTAACGAATATTTGCGGAGAGAATGTAGGGGCTCGACTGATAGCAGTATACAGTAAGGCATCAGAAACTTGTGCCTCATCGAGACTGATATCCCCAGCATGTCGAATATAATTTCTGCATGTTTCCTCGTCCGACGTGAACGCCGCTCCGGTTTTTTGTATGTGTAATATTAGTCCATTCCCTTCTGTGATTATCGACATTAGGAAGAGCGCCGCGAGAACTTCTGTGGGTGCGGGAACGTCTTGCTCTGGATGGTCGCGAAAGCGGTAGCTGATCGCTCTAAACAGTAGAATTTGCGCTTGACGATCGAAATTCGGTGGATGACCTTGGATAAATCTATCGACTATCGTGGCGAGGAAGGATGGTGTGAGATCTTCTTGACCTTGATTCGCCTGAGATAGAGCTTCTACGAAGCCTTGATAATTTGCTGATAGGATAGCGTCGGCTATACAGTTGTGTTAGCTTTCAATGGAAAGGAAGGGATGGTGGGATCAGGAAGCATGTAATAACCTTTAGTTTTAAGATCTGACCTTGATCCGGTTTTGAAAGCAAGTGCTAGAATTGTCTTCTCGAGCGCGTCTAGCTTGAAATGATCCATAAAGGTTGAAAGGTCAAAATCACGGAAGATGTCTTCATTCCCCGTCTCTATGGATTCCGCAATCTTCCCAGCCTGGTCGACATCATGGGCAACCTTGTGTACTTCATTTACTAAAATCTGATAGTTACCTGAATTAAGAACAGGTCGGTTAATGCCAGGAAATATCTGCGGTGCGTTGCCAACCACAAGTCGGCTGAAGTATTTTGAGAATACTTCCATGCCGTGCTCATCAACTAGCTATAGCAAGCAAGCTTCGTGTTAGATGGAACTTTGAGGTAATAAACAAATAAGAGCACATAGGTTACATACCTTTCTGAGCTGTTCAGCTTGTTGTTCCCACTTTGTGCGATCTTTATCTTCTTTAATTGTACCGAGTAACAGGTAAACCTGAGCGACGACAATTTTGTTGACTCCGCTGCCACCGATTGGACTGTTTGTAGATGGACTTGCGCCAGCACTGAATGTACTATGATGCGAGCCGTGAGGTGAATGACTGACTCCTGTCACAATTGTTTGCGCCGGTGAAGGTGTGAAAGTCCCCCCTCTTGAATTCACCATCGAAGATAGTTGTATTTTGGCGCAGACCCACTCCCGCAGAGCTACCTCTCAATCTTGTTCAAGATGAAAGGTTGATCTATCTGGGAGGAGTGGACATGGATGAATCGTATTTTGATAATGCGCAACGATATTATAAGGTTCAAACTTCGAAGGGAAGGAGGTAGAAGGTTTGTTGTTAGAGATTGAAATTGTGAAGGCGATGTGTTCTGTGGGGGCAGTTCGTTCGTTCTACTCAAGAATTGAAGTTGGATGTTCGTTTTCATCGCCTAACTAGTAAGGCTGTTACGGGATTATAGTATAACCTTGGCATCTAAGAAACGACGACCAAAAGAATGAATACCTGGGTAGGCACGACAAAAGTGAATAGAATGGATATTGATTTGTTTCTATTCATTGATCATAAATACAGAAGCAGAAGGTATTTCTTCCTATCTTCACTTCAGATTTACTTATGGTTGCTGGGTCCCTAAGGTATATAAACGGTTTACCTACCTACCTGCTCGGGCGATAGGTTGATATTGGTGTGTATCAAAACATGCAGCTCGAGGGCATCTACGGTGTGAGTTTATGGGACCTTGTCATAAGAATCATCCACCACCAGTCATTGCTTGCTACAGCTAAAGGTTATGTTTCCGCATTCTTCGACTATATGATGCCTATGATGCCTATGCTACAGCTGCGGATCGATCATACTATCGCACTACTTGGCATTGGGCACATTCACAAGACTTTAAAGACTGCAATAAAGCATCATTGGGTTCAATTCTGAATGGGAAGGTGGGGTTATCATGCAACCCCTGACATCGAGTATCGTTCAATTCATGTTACGACTCTGCTCTGCCGCTGCCAACAATGACATCGAATACTTGTATCTATTACCCTTCCTATGTGAGCATTTTTGGTGGAAATGTAAGAGAATTCATGGATGATGGATGTACGTGCTACCTCCTATGCATATCGGTCGGTATAGCTATTGCTTAGCTGAATAGGCACCTACCTGACCCTCACCCTCCCTTGAATGAATGAATGAATCCCTAGAGTGGAAAAATCCGTTACTTCCTCCATATCCCGCCGCCGGGTATTTTCAGTTGAATTACCATGGCCAATGTACAAAGTATATACTCTGTGCTATTATACTCGTATCAATTGCTTATATCAAAGTGGTCAAATTTCGGCCTGCCGCCCTTTCTCCCAATAGAAGGAGTATCATCCGAATCACCCCCACATCACCATGACAACGATCCACGAGAGCTGACTTGGTTGGTTAAATCAACAAAGAGTCAAAAGGATAATTATACGGTCTGTACTTTCATTAATTAAACTCCGCAATTAACCCAATCCACCTTTCTGCATACCGATCATTTCTGTACGGAGTAGATTGTTAGACAACTTTCCAGAACACAGCTTTGCTTTTAACTTCATCGATTCTTTTTTCATCACCTCTCAATATCTCTAATCAACTCTTTGCCCTTCGAAGGGCCGGGTTTGAGAGTTACCTACCAAACAGCGATTTGAACGACCAACCTCTTTAATACTAGTCAAGATGCCCGGAACGATATCAGATGGTCCCTCCGTGACCATGAGTTTCGCAAACAACTTTTGGGGGAAGGACGACGCTGGTGTTGAGCCATTGATACAGCGTATGGTCCATGCGAAACAAACTTGTGATGAATTGAAATCTTTCTATAATGGTATGTTTACCAGGATAGCGCGTTGGTGCGTAGCTAACCCGTCGCATAGCGCGTGCCGCTCTCGAGGAGGAATATGCTCGCAAGTTACTACAGTTATCACGAAAACCATTAGGATCCCAAGAGACAGGAACTCTGCGCCATTCATTGGATGTTCTGAAGGGGGAAGTCGAGGCAATGGGGAAGGCTCATCAAACGATTGCTGGACAAATGAAAACAGAGCTTGAGGAGCCGCTGGCGGCCTTTGCTGGTGCAATGAAGGAGAGAAGGAAGATTGTTCAGCATGGCACAGAAAAGCTATTGAAGATCAAGGTACAACAGACAAATCAAGTCAACAAGGTAAAGAATCCGAAATTTTAATGCTGGATAGTTATTGATCAAATGGCAGACTCGAGACAAATATGAACAAGAGTGCCTCAAGATTAAAGGATACCTCGCGCAAGGACACATGGTAATGGGTCAGGAGGAACGAAAAAATAAAGCAAAGCTCGAGAAAACTCAAGTGAACTTGGCCACGTCTAATACCGAGTACGAAAACGCAGTCAAGATACTTGAGGAAACAACAGGTCGCTGGAATAGAGATTGGAAACAGGCTGCAGATAAGTTTCAAGATCTTGAAGAAGAGCGACTTGACTTTATGAAAAGTAGTTTGTGGAGTTTCGCAAATATCGCTTCCACTGTTTGTGTAAGTGATGATGCCTCTTGCGAGAAGGTTCGCCTGGCGCTTGAAGATTGCGAGGTAGAGAAAGACATCATGTCTTTCATAAACGAGTGTGGGACTGGGCAAGAGATCCCGGATCCGCCAAAATACATTAATTTCTGTCGCGGTGATGCCGATTCACAATCTGAGGCTTCTGAAGACGACGCTTACTCGGTAGCACAATTTCAACGGACTATAAATCCAGCATATAGAAGTTCTTCGCCACAACCATCCACCTACGAATCCCACCATGATCCTCAAGCCGCTCTTGCTAAGGAGTTAGCCCATGAAGTTGAAACACCGAAGAGTCGAGAGGCAACCATCACTCCTCAGAAGCTTACACCATCAAATTCAACCCCGGACAGGTCACGACATGCCCAAGTGGAGGATTATGAACCAGAGCCACCTATACAAGCCCCGCCTGCTCAATTGGAGTATCAACAACCAGCTCGGCCCAGAGCTCAATCCCAGGCCAGTTATTCCCAACCAGGCCGAGCTCGCCCCGCGTCTCAAATCGATTATCAACAACCTGGGAGGCAAAGACAGCAACCTCCACAAGACTATCAGCAAGCTGAAAGACAAAGGCAGCAAGCGCACATCAATCAACAACAAGCAGAAAGGCAAAGGAAGCAATCCGTTGATTATCAACAAATTGACAGACAACAACAAAGCGAAAGACAGAAGCAAGCACAAGCCCAGGCTAATTATCGTCAACAAGAACGCCCAAAACAAGCTCAGCTTGAGTATAAGCCTCAAATCTTGCAACAACCTCAAGTGGACTATCAACGTCCCGATAGCTCTAGGTTACCGAAGATGGACTGGTCGAAGCCAATACAGATGCCTTACGAACAACAACAAGGTCAATTGGTTCCAAAACAGGGACAAATTGCTCAAGTGCCCCACAACCCTCATCCTACCGATGGCATGACAATGTTGTGTCGAACAGGGCCCTCGGCACCTTCAGATATGAGCTCCGCCGCGAATAGCCCAGTACGCCCATCAAGTCGGGATTCCCAAAGCGATTATTCAAATCCTACATCATTCTCAAGCCAAGAGCCTCCAAGCGGAAAAGCTTCACCAGTAAAACAAAGCGCGCCGATTGTTGAGAAGCCGATCCAGAAGAAAAAGAGTGGAATATTCCATAGCCCATTTCGAAGAAAGAGCACCAAGAGCGGAGAAGAAGTTGCTATTGCCAGACCAGCTCCATCAAATCGCAATACATGGTCCGGCCGAAATGCCAGTGCTCAGAGTACTCAAACTGGCAGACCAAATTCGAGAATGATACAGCCAGCGCCAAAAACTATGATGCTGACTGATCGACCCAGCAATAGCCCAGAGCCCGTTGATCCAAGGGCCAACTTTCAATTGAATATCGGAAACAATGTTTTTGATGTTGCAGCGCCTGAAAAGAAGAACAAGCTTGCTCAAAGTACCCCTACAGGCCAAGCAGCAGAAGAGTCTGATCCCATAGCTCAAGCTCTTGCTGATCTCAAAGTTGTTACTAAAGCATCATCTACTAGGGTATCTGCAGATAAATATCACGGAGTGGCTACCCCCGCCCCGGATGCGGCGCCTACATCTAGACCTATCGGATCTCAAATGGTCAATGGGGCTTTGATGGCTGGTATGCGTGGCACACCCCCACCATCTTACGATCCAGCTCCTGTTGAAAGACTTGGCCTTCCATCCCCCGCCTTCACTTCAAAGTCGATGCAGCAAACTCGTCAAAAGTACGTCGACCAAACGGCGAACATGTTTAGTCCTCCCCAGCCAAGACCAGATTCACAGCAAGCCGGGTATGGCTCACGTCCCGGAACAAGGGGGTCAGATATGCCTCGAACTACATCACCAGCGCCCACTCGAAGTATCTCCCCTCGACCTGGAACGCAGGCTGAAATGAGACAAGCTGCCTCTCCTAAGTACGCTGGAAGTACTCACTCTCGTACCGGATCCGCTCCTCAGCAAAATCGGGGCTCTGATACTTATTATCAACGAAATTCCCCCAGCATTTCTACTCGTGGCGTCTCGCCAGCCCCATATGCACAACAAGAAAGGCCCAGCAGCAGCCACGTCAAAGCTCCCTTTCAGCAACAAGAGAGACCTAGCAGCAGTCATGTCAAGGCCCCATTTGCACAACAAGATAGGCCTTCCAGTAGTCATTCAATGGGCATGGTAAATAACAGCATGGCAATACAATTAGCCTCGGGTCATGATGACGGTTACGGTTCTCAGGGACGAAGTGGCAGTAGAGCTAGTGCCGGCTCGAGAGCCATGAGCCATTATGGGAGTGGAAGTGACCAGCAATTGGCAGCACGAAGCAGAAGTAAAAGCGTTGCGGATGTCCGTCAATTCAACAGTCAAGGCCGCCCCATTTTACATTTCGGTAAATTCACCCTGTTCTTGATCATTTGAGTAATACTAACGATCTATTAGCTCGCGCACTCTATATGTATCAAGCTGCTATTCCCGAAGAACTGAGTTTTGCAAAGGGAGACATTCTTGCCGTTATGACGCACCAAGATGATGGATGGTGGGAAGCAGAAGTAGCTGGAAAGAATGGTCGACCGGGTTTGGTACCAAGTAATTACCTTCAAAACTGTTGAGCTCATCAACAGATTCGAGAAGATCGGAGTAATAATGATTGGGCACGAGGTTTGGGTATGATATGAGAATTTGTGAGTATGATAGTTCATGAAATGATGATGCAATGTACGTAGTTGGATGATGGATGATGGACTTCACTTTTGTTTCTCAATTTCTTTCTAATTTTTATTCGATTCGCACTTTACGTGTTAAATTCTTTTGACTTCTAGCGAGGGGATGGAGAGGAGAAGGGTGGTTCTAGGTTTCTTTTTAGCCAGCGAGAGCGTTATGAGGATAGGCGGATTTGTGTTATACCTTTTTGATGGATGAGCTCATTAGATTCTTTTGATGTTATCGTTTGCTGTTTACAGATTGGAGGGGCCACAAGGAGAGCAATATTGGAGACGGAAGATTGAAGGACATAGGCATATAAGCACATAGGCTAAAACAAATATTGTTTCTACACATGATCTTTTCCCTGGTAGGGTTTATTCCGTAATCGTGAAGTTGTCCTGATATCGAGAGCTTTAATTGAAAATTTCAGATGCAATAATAATTATCAACCTAATCTGCTAGGTAGCATATACCAACTACATGGTATAACAACTACTCATTCGGTAGTCTTTTTCTTCCTTGATGTTAATGAGAGCTATTACGCAAAGGCAAAGTTTGATCGTGAAAGCTATTACAGTAGCACTAAAGTAATAAAAGTTCACTACTTCAAATCCCTCGATCCGGGTTACTGTCCTCAATTTTTCACATCTATTATCTCACTATTACGAGGGGGTCCTGACAAGCGCTTAGAAGATGATGGTTGATGGTTGTTTATTCTTGGAATTTATTCTTGGGTGGGGAGGGGATCTTCTCCGCTTTTTTATGTTCGCTTAGCTTATGAACTACAGTACAGTGATTCAACTAAATCTGGCGATGAACTGGGAGTTCTCTATGCGAATTTTTGAAAGAGAGTTGGGGTTTTTTTTCTTTATATTGTATATATGTATATATGTATATATTATAAGAGAAATCTTGATAGATAGATGTGTAAAATGAAAAAGGGTAATTCTATCTAGGTCCCTCTCTGGCTGTTACTTGGTTAGCGAATACCATAGTTTTATAGTTAACATATCTGCTGAATTTAGCAGTTAGTTCTGATCAGAGATTTTGTGTATCTGTGAAGTTGTTTTGTGCGCTTTAGTGTGATATAGTGATGTGGTGATGTTGGTATTGGAGTCTTGAAAGCTGCGATGGAGTATGCTGATAAGTTGTGAAGGGGGAATTTGGGGTGGGAATGAGGAATGGGTATATGTCATGGATAATGGTTGTGTGTCCACCAAAATTCTTTCCGCAAGTGAGTTTTGCGATGGATAGTATTGGTTCACTTTGGTTTAGATGGTTGGTCAGTTTTGTGGGTGGTACTTTTAGAGTTTGGAAGGAATCATGAAAGTTTGAGACAGGTTGACTATACTTGACTAAGGTGAGAAGAGAGGAGATTATAGATGAGAGCATCATGAAACTTAATAGGAGAATCTGACATAGTGCTTAAGAAAACCTTAAATCAAGGGATTCTATTTAAGCGAACTAGTTCTGAATATATCTACCAGATATTCCTCTTCCAATAGAATTGTCTAATCACTCATAAACACGTTTTATAAATTTCAATAAATTTCAAACTAATCGAATTTCCTTTCACCGAAAATCAGCTAAATCAAGCTCATCATGCGCGATACCGGCTTTTCTCAACTGCCATTCTACTTAGACCCTCGATTGATGTATTGCCCAGCAAAATAAATACTGCAATATCTGCACCTATCTCCTTTGCCAGCCAGTTTTTTAAGTCAATCGCAATTAGCGAGTCAATGCCATAGGTGTGGATTGGTTTACTCGTATCAATATCTGAGACAGCCAGTCCTAGGATTTGACCAATCTTTCCTGAGAACCACTCGGCAACCAAAGTGATTGCATCTTGGAAGGATGCTGCCTTTCTCAAGAGACCTTCGCGATCAAGGATTACCATGGCGCCATTCTGCAATTGCCCTTTTTCATTCGAACCTTCTGGAACAACTCGGAATAATTGGCGGAACATTGGTCGAAATATAGAGTGATGGAGATCAATACCTTTCGCCAGAACTGCCGAGGGCATTTCAATACCGACTAAAATCTGAGCCTGATCGGCAGATAAAACAGGCAGTTTGGGATCACAGTAGTAGTCTAACAATCCGAGAAGCTCCTCCTCCTGAATGTCCATCAAATGACCGATACGACGCATGAAATTAAGCACAGACTCATTCTCTGCGACTACACCCTCATCCACCATCATTCCTAGGTCGATTGACACTGCTTTCTGCCCCAGCGCTACTCTATAATGAGCGAGCGCATCTTTGAAAGTGTTACCCGCAGCATAATTTGCCTGTGCGCGACCACCAAAAATGCCGTTGATGGAAGAGAATAGCACCAAAAAATCGAGGTCTAAAGGTAGCACTTTGTGGAGATTCCACGACGCTGTCACTTTCGAGCGTGTACTGATATTCCAGTCTTCATACGACATCTTTTCGAATAAATTATCCTAATACCAAATTAGCATACTGCGGTGTGCTTAGAATTGTCTGGAAACAAACCCTTAATGCCACAGTTGCTTGGATGCAGCCTCGAATTGGAGGCATTTCTTTTGAGACCTGGCTCAGCACTTTCTGTAGACTACTTAAATCGCCAACATCAACGATCGGGGTAGCTACGCAAGCTCCTTGGCCCTCGAGTTCGCTCACGAGAGTTTGTGCCGCCTTCTTGCCATTGACACCTGAGCGTGAAAGGAGGATCATATTGCGAGCACCTCGGTTAACCATCCATCTCGCAGAGCTTCTACCGAGCCCTCCTAGTCCTCCTGCTATGACATATGTTGCGTTTGCTGGAAATTGATATTCTGGTTTTGTCTCAACATTCACCTTTGGCACAGGGTCAGCTAACTATCAAAGATGTTACGGCACTAATATACTCTAGACATACTTGTATAACAGAACCGGGAAGTAGTTGGACAACTCTTTTTTCCGCCATACTTCGGTTTTCGAAGTGTCGAAAAGCAGCTGCAATTTCATGAGCCTGAAATATTTGAAGTGACTGCGGTGGCTTCAGATGTTGCTCGAAACAGAACTTTGTCGCTTTTCTATATGAATTATAGGCTAAATTTGGGTTCTTATTGAGAAGGTCAACCATGTCTATTGATGCCTGTAATGAATTGGTAATCGTATATCTGTATGGCTTTATAAGTGATCGCTGCTCACCCTTGATCCCCACATCTATGAGTCTGCCGAATGGTGCAATGAGGTCAGAATAATTCACGTCCAAATTCTCCACGATTGGTCCTATAATGACATCGACGCCCTTTCCATGGGTAGCTCGATATATGCTGTCTTTGAGAGAGATGCTCGAGTCATCATCGCAGAGAAAGTTCGTCTCTAGGAGATCAAAACTTTCAAGGAGAATCTTCTTTGAAGCCGAACTGTCCATAGCGAGCGGTTCTGCACCTAGGCTTTTAGCTATTTGAAGTGCCATCTGCCCCAAACTGCTCGAAGCTTGAATGATCAGTACCGATTCTCCTTTCTGTACTCTTGATATTTCAACTAAGCCATGATAAGCTAGCCAAAGTGAAGTAGGTAACGCAGCACCTTCTGCAAAGCTTATTTGTTGTGGTATTTTTGCAACAGCTCCTGTTTTTAAGCGCAGCACAGAGCAACCTAACGATTGGCCAATGACACACACACGATCTCCAGGATAAAGACCAGATTTGTCACCTACTTTTAGAACTATTCCGGCACATTCTGTTACAAACCCCCCTGAATTGTTGAGCTGGCCACTGACAAGTAGATAATCTCGTAGGGTTAACCCTAGAGCCCTTACCTCAACCAAAACTTCGTCCTGGTCTAGCGGCTTTGAAGCTGATTCGTTGTCATTAGAAATCCACTGTAGTGTCTCTAATTGACCTGGATTCTCCAAGTCCAGTGAGATTCGTATGCCGGTCTCAATATTGAGTTGCTTCATCTGGCGTGGTAGAGTGTGGCGTGCAATTTTATCATTCATAGATCTATATTCACGAACACGACCAATCTGCAATGTTCCATCCTTACTCATATAATTGTTTTCTAAGTCCGCAACTGCAAAATTAGTGATTTTGACGATAAGATCAGAAATGAGACTCGCGATACGTTGTACCTCGTAATCAAATTTGCTGTCCAAGGAAAGTGTAACAAATTTACGCTTAAAGCTCTCGGAGGCCAATGTCCGACCTAACCCATCAACCAAGTGATGTCTTGGCTCAAAACAATCAGACGGGCTTCTAGTGACCCATAATGTCTTCGATGTGTTATTCAAAATTCCTTGTAGATACCGATAGTCTGTTTTGCTGATACCATCGAGGAAAATGGCATCTAGCTCGACTAGAAACAAGTTTAGAGCAGAGGCAGGTATATCAGCTACAGCACATTCAGCTAATGTGTAGATTTTACATCTAGCATGTTGAACCTCCAATAGTCTCGCAATATCTAACTGGCCTGGTACCTGGGTATCCACCACAATCGCAATATCCTCGTCCTCGGAAGTTAGTTGTTGTTGAACGTTAGGCTCGGCCTTTTTGGAGATAATGGTGCTACTGTAGCGGCATTGTAGATTTTCCTGGTTTGGGATGGCTACTTCAGTACCGAGGAAGCCTGCTCTTTTCAAACGATTGTCCCATTGCTCTGTTGTCAAGCATGGGCTGTATTGGGATCGAGATTCGTGAGAAAGTGGACTCCACCATCCTTTCAGCAGACCAAATGCAAATCCAATATGAAGGACTTCCGGTCGAGTAGTCTCAAACATTAGGAGTGTTCCTGAAGGCTTCAGAAGTCTTCGAATATTATGCAGTGTCTGGTCGAGATCACTTGTGGCATGAAGTACATGTGATGCAATCACAAGATCATAGCTTTCTGTCTCGAATGATTGGGAAGCAGGATCCTTGGATATATCACAAACACGAAACTCCATCTGATCGATATACTCATGAAACTTGGTTCTTGCCTGGGCAAAGAACGCTGGTGATATATCAGTGTAATCATATCGAGACCACATTTTTGTTTTATCTGTAGTCATCGCCTTGAGAATAGGCAAAGTTTGACCCCCAGTTCCGGCACCCACTTCTAAGATCTTCATTGAAGGGTTTTTAAAACAAAGTAGTTCAATAAAGGCTGATGACGGATGAGTATAGTAATCACTTGAAAGCATTTCCTCATAGTAACGATCGGCTAGACCGTCATTAAATATTATATTGAGAGGATTTACTTCCCCACGAAGTACTTTTGACAGTACCTGTCCGATTTGTATGAAGAAAACTCCCTCAACTCCAGAGTTTCCGACTTGGACAGTAAGCTGATTGCGTCTATCACGATCTTGGAGCAGTTCCAAAGCTGCTCGTAGGTCGTCATTGCTGAGACAATCGCGTTGGTACTTCATCCATTCGAGATAGATTTCTAGATGTGGGACTACTGACGAGGCTGAATGATCCATAACATCAAGGGCTTCAAGTATGAATAAAAGGATGACGGTATTTAAGCGCTCGTAATTGCATATTTCATTTGTTGCCCCTGTTGGTCTGTTGATAGTACACCAATGAGTTATCTGTTGGTTGCTCATCATGTCGATATCTGGTTTCCAGACTAATTGCGTGCAAAGGTTGCGCGGTTGAGAGTGCTTGATATTCGAGGGACTAGCAGCCGTGATGAAGCTAGTATCAAGGCCCTCGAGAATTATGAGGGGAGCGGAAGAACCTATGGGGGTCGCAACAATATTTCCAGTTGCTCCACGATACCCTCGTAGTTTACATCTCGCAGCCCCGTGAATCTTCGCTCCCTCAAGTGATTGGAAGCCCATAAAGTCGATCCATATATTGGAGACATGGACAGGTACCATTGTTTGTTGAACAATATAACCCTTGGCAATTGTCGGTGCCATTAGTTGTGCTAATCCATCAATTGTAGATGGATGTATAGCATAGGCTTGATGGAACGAATTGGCACTCTTTGACGTCCACGATCTGGTGTTTATCTCCGCGATCGCTTCTCCTTTAGGACCAAGATACACGTTACTCAAGCTTTGGAAGCATGGCCCATATTTTACGGTAGTTTCTACCGAGTAAGGATCTGCTAGTTCTCGACAAGCATCAAAAGTATTCGACAGCCACTCTGCGAGTGGTTCATCATCTAGAGAAAACAAACCACACAGAGCGTATCTCCGGTTCTTTTCATCAAAAACAGGCCGAATATAGCCGCTGCAGCATTCCATGTATTTGTCACTCTCTATCACAAAAAGACGAAAGTAAGACCAAGAAGCAGAGTTACTGATAGAAGATGTCTCTGTCAATATATTCAGCTGAGTTTCGACCTTATCACTTTCTCTTGGAAACGCAATAGGATGAAGAAAGTGTATATCTTTTATCTGGACTCCTTGAACGTAAGCCGTTTGGTCGACTAACTGCTTAAGCCCTTCTATGGCCATGACCACCATACCTGCGGCTGGGAACAGAATTTCTCCTTGTACTTGGTGGTCTTCTAGCCATGGCACTTCAGAGAGTCGCATAACGTTTCGCCATTGGGCCATCTTAGGGTTCCAGTCGAGGCTGCGTGTTCCCAGAAGGTCGTCTCGGGCAAAAGAAGGAAATCGAAAGTTCTTACTTAGTCGACCTTCTTTCCAGTACGAACTTTTGTGGTTGAAAGGGTATTTTGGCATATTCGATGGCATACGACACTTTCTGTCTGTCAATTCGCTGTTGTTAACTGCGACCAAATTGACCGGATACCCAGAGCTTTGCAGCATTCCTACAGCGCATAAAAGGGCTACGGACGCATCCTGACCTCGAACGAGAGAAGGCACGTATGTAGGCTTTGATTTCTGTGTTTTGATATCCGATATAATGTCGCGAATAGGTCCCTGGAGCGTATTGTGTGGGCCAATTTCGACAATTTGAGTGAAGCAAAGATTTTTGCCTACATTCTCTCCACCTAAGACCTTGCGTGGTTTCTGAGAGCTCTGTCCCAAAAGTTTTGAAACTGCGCCTTCGAAGTTGACGGGGGACTTCATATTCTGTACCCAATAAATGGGGTCAAGAAGATGTTCAATGGTCACTATGTCTTGCGTTACTGTGGATAGCATGGGAATGAATTTAGATTTTCGCCCCTTCTCGAGGGGTCCTAGCACAGCGTAATACTCGCTAGAGATGGTCTCCATATATTCTGAGTGATAAGCCACGGAAACACGCAGTTTCCTAGCAAATAGTGAATCATTCGTGAGCCATTGAGCGAGTGCTGTTAGTTGTGTACTATCTCCACTCAAGGTAATACTTTTGGGACTGTTGACACAGGCAATATTGACATGAACGGAACCCTCTACTTCTCTCAATCTGTCCAGATAAGCAAGTACCGCGCTTTCTGAAAGACCCACAGCCATCATTCCCATGTCTTTCCTCAAGGCCGCAAGCTTAGAAGATACTATTCCTCTATAATACGATACTCTAACAGCAGATGACCGGGACAGTGCGCCAGCAGCATAAGCCGCAGCAATTTCCCCAGAAGAGTGGCCAATGACACCAGATGGTATGATACTAAAGCTCTTTAGTAGGTCTACAAGGGCAATTTGGAGACAGGTAGTCAGCGGCTGGCTATATTCCGGATTGTCAATAGGAAAATCATGGTGAGATTCTTCAATCTTTTCCTGAATAGACCATGCGCAACCAAGACCTTTTAAACACATATCCGAGTCCCTGAGGCTGTCTTTGAAAGTCTGGAAAGAAGTGAGTTCTCTACCCATACCAAGGTACTGAGCTCCCTGTCCAGTAAAGATAAATGCAATGCGCTGCTCTTTATTTGCCTTTATTGGCTTTATTGACCCGAGTATTTCGAACTTAGTGCTATCGTACTGTCTTGTGACGATAAAGCTCCTCCATTGGAAATGATTCCTTCTAACTGCTTGTATGTGAGCCAGGTCGTCTATACATGGTTGTCCCTCACGAATGAAATTACTGTAAAGCTCGGACATCCGCTGTGCGCATGTTTCTTCGTAGGCCGACCATACGACTAGTTTTGGTGATAAGTGAAAAGCCTTAGCCGTGTCATTACCGGATCTGTTACCGTTGCTCTTTAGTAATGCTGTCGAATGATTGCATGAAGTCACCCATTCTTGGCTGTACTTGATGTGGTTGCGACCATTGACCTCGCCTCGGACCAATCCCAGTGTTGTGGGTGTTAATTCCAGAGTTTGATGAAAACCATGCAGGCCGTTCGCTTCCAGGTAGTGGTATACATCGTCAAGTATAACAAGTGCATTTGTGCCTCCGAAACCAAACGAGTTCACCTAGCGAATTTAGTAAGCATTTTCCTCCAGAATACTGTTGGCTGACTAACACAAGCTCGACGTAGAGTGGACGTAGGCCATTGTAATTGTGTCCTAGGGAACTAATCATATCAGTTTTTTGGTTTAATCAACAGGAAATACGTCTTACACAGATATGCAGAGCCTCTGTGTCTATCTGCTTGTTCACTGATTGAAACTCAGCTATCGGTGGAATTATTCCCCTTTCAAGTACCAATAATGCCTTTATAACTCCCGCAAGTCCGCTACAACCCTCTAAATGACCTATATTAGCTTTAACGGCTCCAATATAAAGTGGATCTTCCTTGCTACGACAGTGTCGGAATGCTTTGCCGATAGCATTTGCTTCAACAGGGTCTCCAGCTTTGGTCCCGGTACCATGAGCCTCGAAGAACCTCGTAGGCTCCATATCAAGGTTCGCATCCTTATAAGTTCGTTCAATAAGCTCGATTTGGCTTTGCTGACTTGGGAGAGTTATTCCCGGCGTTCTACCATCTTGGTTTGTAGCTGATTGTCTTATGATAGTTCTGATAGTGTCTCCATCGCGTAGGGCATCGGAAAGTCTTTTGACGACAATCACAGCAATACCCTCTCCACGTGAGTATCCGTTTGCACGGTCGTCAAAACTCCAGGACTGACTATCTGGAGAGAGAAAATTGCCATTTGACATCATTTTCATGAAATCGGGGTGGTAAACAAGGTTGGCGCCCCCTACCAGAGCCTAGTGAATACAATTAGCCATTTAATCTTCGATATACAGATAACTGTAACAGACCATGGATGATGTCCCAGCGCGGAGATCCTGACATGCAAGATGTAATGCGATCAGACTACTTGAACATGCCGAGTCCAAGTTCATGGATGTTCCCTTGAAATTGAAGAACCAACTTAGTCGGTTGGCCAACATCGATGGCGTAACACCCATAGCAGCGTGTTTCTGCTCCGCCTCAAAATCCTTTTCAAGGATACTCAGATAGTCATTCGTGAAGCACCCCGTGTATACCGATGTGTCTGAGCCTGAGCATTTGTGCAGTGTAATACCGGCTGTGAAAACATTATCAGATTGTTCAGCTCTCGTATCATTGTTCTGCTGTACTCGCCATCCTCAAGAGCATGATAAGCTGTCTCGAGCATCTTACGATGCTGTGGATCCATACATGCTGCTTCCGCTGGCGTTATGGAGAAAAAGGGTGCATCGAACACTCCTAAATCTTCTTCCAGAAAATTTCCTCCTCGGAGCGGTATCTGTCATTGTTTAGCTTGAACTATTTCAGTAGTCTTGTCAGTTATCGACCTACCGTACTTGTTCGATTATCGTCCGGATGATAATATCCTTGTATATTCATGCGATCAAAGGGGAAATCCGAGCTTGCTGTTCTACCTTCGCAAATCATCTCCCAAAAACTGGCAACAGACGTAGCTTCTCGCGGGAATTCAAACGAAAACCCCACGATCGCAAGAGGTATATGGCTTCCATCTCTCCTAGTTTCCGAGTTGTCAGCTCCCGAAGAATTGAAGTTCATGATTACTCGCGAGTTGTTTCTGCACAACCGTAATCAATCATTGCAAAGAGAAAGTTGAGTATCTATGATCAAGTTCTGTCACTTGTTCATGCAACAATGTATTTTCATGTGAACATACCACTTACAGCTCAAGCCTGTCATTCACATTGGGTTCGAAAGCTCGGCTAATGCATCCATTCAAGTGACTTCTTAGGCTTGGGTAGAGTCTATGTGCGAATCATCTCTTGCTACTCTGGAGGCCGTGGTCTAGTTTGCCTCTCTTACCTATTCAGGCGTCCCCGGAAATGAAAAGTTTCAGCTTGTGTAAGAGTGATGTTCGGTACAGCATTGAAATTTTATACCCCTTTAAGTTACAATCATAAAATCAATGTGATTGTCATTTTTTGGTATTCATGTTCGTTCACAGTTTAGAAATGGTAAAGCACATTCCGAGACTGATCATCATTGTAGTTTGAACGTCACATGTCAGAAACGCATAAATATAACGGACGGAGGTCAAATAGTAATTAAATTATTTCGTATGGATCGAAATAAACAATCAGATCATGTATAACTGCACCCTTTTGTCATTCAATTCTTCTGCAAACTAGAAACACTGAAATACTTGCATTCAAAGTCGTCTCAATTTCTGGCAAACGCCTCTTTCAAATAGTGCTAGGCCATGTCGGATGGGGTGATCCGATGCATAACTTCGACATTTGTAACTTAGTGGTTTCATGGCATGCCCGTTTGGTTCTTCAAAAATCACAACAAGCGGTACAGCCAAATTTTCGGGTCTTTCGGGGTTTCCTGGTTGCATAACAAAGCTTCAGCATGTAAATATATCTTGATTTGTTAATATTTGCGATGTTTCCTGTGATCAACGAGCGTACGTACGGCAGCCACAACTATTTTCAATTTATATGCAAGTGATGCCAAACTAAGGTTGCGATCCTAGTGAAGTAAGTAAGCTGCGTTCAGACTTACCCGCCGTCTGATTGCAGCAGAGCTACTGCACGAATTGGAAGATGTGGTAATCTCGGTAATTGCATCCATGGCGTCAGGCGGCACAGCTAGCCATGACTTTACTTCAGTCAATCATTGTCGGGCGATAACAGTCATACATTCTATGATATTGAGATCAGTAGCATTCAATGTCATGCAAGTCAGCTTCAACAAAAGACCCTTTGCTTCGATTAACAATCATGCCGTGGTAACGATTGCTGCAGTTGCATCTACACTACACCTCGTACCCGCCATACTTATTGGACAAATCTGGAGTTGATCGACATTTTACGCGGCTGATCAATTCTCATTATAGGACGGTAGAGCTATTTTTTCTATCGGTGATGCGGTTTGTGGAAGTAAAAGGGTGCTTACTGCCCATGCAAGAACAGTTCCAGGTTAGACGTGGAGATGCTGACCCAACTCTGTTAACCCTATATCTACAGAAGCTTCACTGAAGTTTGATTTCTTCAAGAAAAAGCATTATGATATATATTTGCATAGTATCAAACGTGTACAGATGATAAATAGTACGACTGTTACCGCATAAACGGTGAAGTTACTGCGAAGATACTCCTGTGGGCCTACTCTGTTTTTTCTAAACACTGCAACGTTACCATGGATTTCGGTGAGAATTCTAAAGAGAAGAACAAGATCAAGGTGTTATGCCTTCATGGAATTGGAACTAATGCCGAGGTATGTACTATTAGTTCCTAGTCATTTTATTGGTGATGTATCTGACTTATTGCAGGTTTTGGAAGCACAAACAGGTAGGCGTCGCTATTCCAGTGAAGAAAGAGCATTCAAAGAATTGATGATCGACAGCTGCTCTAAGGTATGAATTAGGCAATGATTATGAATATGATTTTCTGGAGGGAGGATATCCATGGCCTGTAGCTCCTGAGATTGGCAAAATATTTGGAGACCAACAGATATATCGCTCTTACTTTGACGAATCAGGAGATAGCCTGAAGGACGCCCTGGACGATCTTGATCAATACGTGACTAACAACGGCCCGTTTCATATTGTAATGGGATTCTCCCTTGGGGCCGCATTTGCTGCAACGCTTCTCCTCCGGGATGAGATGCGACGATCCAAATCCGAAGCTAATCACTACCACATCCTTGCCAAAGCGAAGCCTCGTTTCAAATGTGCAATTTTCATATGCGGCACTCTACCACCCGATCTGGATGCACTTGAACACGGGGACATCCAAGCGTTACGAGCTAAGGATTTTCACTCGGTGATCACTGTTCCTACCGTACATTTATGGAGCACAAGGGACGTAGATCACGCGACGCAGAGCAAAGAACTGGTTCGGATGTGCGAAGAGAGGAGTCGGGTTGAAATCTTACATGCAGGAGGACACAGTGTGCCACACCAAGGCGATGAGTTGAAGGCCGTTGCAGCTGCCGTCCACGAATTCATCAATAGAAATGCCTAATTTCAGGTTTTGCTGTTTGTAGCTTTGAAGAAATCCATGCGCGGCTTCTCTTTGCAGAGTGAGTCTGCCAAGTATCAAAATGTTGAGATATATTGTGAACATCTAGCTATAACTTGGGGTGAGATCTGAGAGGCTACCAACACACTGGGTCGGGCCAAGTTTGGCTAAGCCGATTGGCGAGTGTTACTTATTTGGCACCAGGACCGTTCTATTGATGCCACAGGACTGTATCTGTGACTAATCCGGACCATTGAGATAGGAAGGACAACACCTATTAATCTAAAGCAAGGAATTATCAGGCGGTATCACTTGGCAACTCGGGAACTCGGCACCCAGTCGAAGCCGTCCAGGAAGTATCGAAAGTGCTCGGTATTTATTTCTTCAACCCGCAATGCAGCGGTATCATGCAAAGCCCTTCACAAGAATTGTTAGGTTACTGACATTCACTGGGAATATTCGCACCCGTCTCTACAATGTTAAATTTGGAATACATGTGGGTGCGCAACCAAGTTCATAGCGATTTCTTGCCAACAACAGTCATGCGTGTGAAAGCCCAACAAGAACCCCTTCTGGTTTCTTTGGCAACTTCTGGTAACAATTCTCTCAATTGCTCGGCCATACCTTCTTTCTTAGTCGTTCTTGCGAATAATTCATGAATGATCATACTGCATTCGTGAAAGGCAAGCTCGTGGTATGGTGGCGCTATCTTGACATCGGAGATGATATCCTCCAAGCCAATTTCTTTGTAAAGCACTGGAAGATTGGGAACCCATGTTGGGCTCAATCTTGCATCTTGCCCTTGAGAAACTTTGAGCAGTCGGTTCATAGCATTGGTAGGATTCTCCGGGTTTGTTTTCTCTATGCGAAATGACGCTACATCTGGCTCTGCCCATTGGAGATAGCCGCCTGGTTCTGAAACAGAGACGTATCTGTTAGCAACATTAAATAATGTAGAATGGCAATTGACTAACTGATCATTTTGACAAGGTTTCCAAGGACATGAGAAATCTCGTGGTTTTGCAACACAAAAAGAAAGTTGCGAATGTGGACAATATCGTAAACTCCAATAAGATCTTCTGGTACGTCTTTCTTCACATCCCAGTGACGAAGCGTCACGTTGGAAGGAAGCCACTCTGACGGAGGGGCTGCGTCGAATGATACATCTAAGCCATCCAGCTGTACAGACTCGGGAATTGATTTGGCTAAATCAGTGAGCCAGATGCTGGCCGAATTAACGTAAAAACTTTTCAGACTGAAAGGCGAGTACAAACCCCGTGCCGGTGCCCACATCTGCTATTCTTAAGTTTGGATTCTCAGTGGAAATTTTGGGATGAACAAGATACCCAAACAGTTGAATCCAAAGATGATGTTGCAAATTGATTCTAAGTACGTTAGTAAATTGTAACAAAAGACCTAGGAGTAGAAAGAACATGAAAATTATGACTACCGATTATTATCAAGATAATCGCGAGTGAGGACATATTCAGGAGGGGAGCTCATCTTGGCAATTGTATATGTTGACACTGGGAATCTAAATTTAGGTAAGAATCGTGTATTGACAGATGGTGTCTTGTTTGGGTTTTGCAAGATTTACGATTCCCAACGTATTCACCCCTACTTTATATACTTTTTGCTATCTATGTGAACAAATTAGAGCATTGTGTAAAGTTGGTTTACCAAACACATACCAACCTGTGCCTCGTTTAAATCACACCAGCCAACGGGTTGACCAACGTAACATCATGTTTTACCGTCGTAGCTGATCATGTAAGCTGATGTTTTCGAAGAAATAAAATAGGAAATTGTCATGGCGATCGAACTGGCGGATTTGTCTAGGAACACGCACCAATACATCAACTGTGCAGCTAAAATGCTACATTCTAGGTTGAGGCATTGAAAAATATACACTGACATGGGAAGTCTTACTACGCCTCCCCACGACAGGAATGGAGTTGAAGCAACTTTCCCTGATCAACATAATGTGTCGAACTCGCCTGCACACCAAAAATATAGTTTACTCGTTATAATCAGTCAAATTCACCACTCACCCAAGACCATCTGACAACAATAATCTACCGCATCATCTTCCACGTTGAACGTTTTTGAATGATAACAGGTTATACTTTCGGCGGACACGATGGCATCTACATCTTTAAACTCATTACCTGACGGCGTCGACCCATCTTATGGAGGGCTGAAGCTTACTATTTTCACTTGCATCCTATTGGTTGTCGTATCTCTTTGTGTCTCTCTTCGATTTTATACTCGGTGGTTAGTAAAACCACCTTGGGCATTGGATGATGTCTTGGTATTTGCAGCTCTTGTATTTCAAGCTGCCTTAGCTGCTATATTGTTCGGTAAGCAACAAACTATCAAAGGAGTCTTGAATATAGATCGAATAACATGACGAATTGCTAAAATGTTACCATAGACGCATTGAGAACCGCTGGGCTGGGTTACCATACATCATATCTCGAATTTACGGCTCCTTGGAAGGTGCAAAGATGGGGAAAGGAGCTGTTTGCTGGGACGATAGTGTATCTACTTTGCGCTACAGCCCCGAAATACGCGATTTTGCTCCTATATAAACGCCTGTTTATCACAAATAAGGTTCGGATTTGTGTCTATGTATTGATGGCAACATTGGTTGTTTACACGATAGTGATGATTGCAGTGGCACTTGCAGCCTGCAGGCCATTCGCGGCAAATTTCGACCCTACGATACCCGGCGCCAAATGTATAAATAAGGAGGACCTATATCGGTGGGGTCCAATCGTAAATATTGCCACTGATATTGCCATGCTGATACTACCGATGCCGATAATATGGAACTTGCACACCACCCCTCGTTTGAAACTGGGATTGACTCTCACGTTCCTGACGGGAAGCCTGTAAGTTATAGCTCCAAACATCTCCCATGAGCTAGCTAATCGGCTCTAAGAGGCCTCATTATCTCGATCATACGTATTCCAATATTCTTCCAAGCAAACTCATTCACAGATGGAACATACACCGGCGCGGAGTTAATGATATGGACTCAACTAGAGACGGCCTGCTATTTGATTTCTGCCTGCCTAATGACACTGCGCCCATTGCTTGAGAAAGTTGGACAGTCAAGAATTGTACAAACGATCAAAGGCAGCCGACCTGGAGAAGCCGCACGTGGAGTCTTCAATTCACCCAAGCCTAGCGATGGCATGAGCGGAGAAAACAAAGCGTTCGACCTCAAGTTACAATCCTTGCAACCATCCCATCAGATTAGAATCCATGCTCAAGGATTTCATCGCCTGAACAACAGTACGGTGGATATTGAAAGCAACGAGGTACTGGTTCGCACTGACGTAATGCAGAGAGATGAAAATACACGTGGATCTATAAGACGAAGCTCATTCAATGGCTGACAGGCATTTGTACAACTTGGTCTGAAAAGAAGTAAGGGTTGGATTGGATCAAAATATGCCACTACCCTCTACAGTGGCTAGACATATACATACGCAGATGGACCTACTGTCAAGTAGATCAAAATCTAAAGTCCTGGATCACAAATTCAAGAAATTCTCTTTTCTCCTTAACTCTTTTACTGCTACGTAAAACTGGATGACCTCTTCAACCCTTTCTTCTCCCCGCATTACACCTTCACTCCGACTTTCCTCAAATCCTTTCTATGCTCTCCACTGCCACTGGATAAATTACTTTTCATCGATAGAACCACCTAGACATACACACAATTATTATCGACTTGGCTTTTTTCCGTGAGCTTCTGACCAAAAATGAGCAATCCTCTAATTCTTGTTCCCCCCTCCCTAGTGAATCTGAAAAAAGAACCTACTCCGAAAAGTCCACATCTGACCTCAATTACAATCAATCATTTAAAAGTGTCCTTATAATCCCTCCAATAAAAGTGTGTATTAACTTGCAACTATCAATTTCCATTTTTGATATTTCCAATTTCACATCTGTAATGCAGGATCTACTTGAACCCTAGCAACAGACGGTATTCCACCACACCAGAGCCATTATGTACATATCTCTCAGTAGCAAGATGTAACAATATTTCCAAGCATCTTACCCCAGGTGCTTTCCGAGATGTGAGATACGCATACCTATGACGAAGTCCTGTGAGGTTGCAGCAAGTATCTCGTGTATATGATACATGGCACTTGCCATCCATCTAAAGCAGATGCAACATGCTGTAGATACCACTAGCAAATGCTATCCGAGCATTTAGCGCTACTCTTTCACTACCTTTGATTCTGAGAGGATCGAGATTACATTTCCATGCCCATTTACATAACTCACAAGGAACTGACCACATAATTTATTTATTGATATTATTCATCTTATCTGTTTTCAGTCCATTTGTATGCATGACCATCCACCCATCCCTATACGAGAAGACGTAAAACCCACCTATTCTCTGTCCGCCATGAGGCAGTCAAATGAAGGAAGCAGTTCTTGCCAAGGTACCACCCACCACCCAGCTCTGTAGCCAGCCATGAAACCATAGTGCAGCAGACGCTCAGGGTATTAAAGGAGATCTTTTACAAGACATACTGTGAGGTATGCAAACAACTCATCAATCCATAAAAACAAGGTATCCCATGTAAAGACTCAGGTTAACAGGTATAAAAATCATACTGTTTATATGATATGATATGATAAGCCTGCCACCCCTTTCACAAATCACCAACCAACCAAATATCACTCGCTGCGTGTCATGCCATGCTCGTTTTCGCTTTCCAATCCACCAAATAGATTGAGAAATAGATGAGACACCCATTAGCGTGTATCTCATCATGCCATGATGTCTATATCAAAATCTTTAGTGTTCCTTCCATCCTATATGGCCCCTAACCATCATAACTCTTCTTCATCTACACCCTTCATTGCTGGTTCTGGGAGGGGAGTTTGCGCAGCTTCGGCTGCTGCTACGATGTCAAGATCACTCGAAAATCCTGCTAGTCGTTTATCTAGAGACTCATTACCGATGAGGCTAGCTCTCTGTTTCTTCATAGGACTACCAACAAAGTTGTCGTCTGTGAGGCTTTTTCCGAATACGTTGTTTGGTAAAGTTAGACCATTGTTGTCTCCATCCGTAGCGGGAGTAGCATTGCCAGATGTATTGCTGGCTGAGTTAGGTGATCTGCCCAGATTGTTGTTCAAATTTCCGGCGGAATATTGACGTTTTAACTTCAATCAATATTAGCATACTTTCTTACAGGTAGAATGTGATTACCATACCTTGATTCGTCCAACCCCATCTGCTAATTCTCCCTGAAACTTTGCATCTTCTGTACTCAAAGTCTTATTTGGATCATCCTTATCATCCACTTCTTCCATCTTTACTCCATTATCGTCATCATCTTCATCTTCGCTGTCTTCCATCATGCCGAGATTTCCATTACTCTTCTTTTTAGATCTGCTGCGCTTCGCGGAGGTGTCGTTATCTCTAAAGGCGGAAAATCCAACGGTTCCAGTGTTGCTCAATTTGCCAATATTTCCGAAGTCGAACTGTGTTGACCTTCGTTTCGCAGCACTGCTGTTTATCTTTTCCTGCTTTGAATTTGGTAGAATGCCCATCTTTTGCAATTGACCTGTGGTGACATGTTAGAGAGTGGTATTGTGACAGAAAACAGAAATAAAGCTTACGTTGACCTCGGTAGAAGAATGTAAAGACCGCGAAAGGCTTCTCGGGCCCATCTATTCCAGTGACAGTTTGTGTGCTAATAGATTTTGGATCTAATGTCTTGGGCTTTGCAAAACTTGTGGTGTGATCAACGTCTCCCTCTCCTCCTTCTCCATTGCCTTTCTCTCCTTCTTCATCATCATCATGAGCATCGAATTGTGGAGAGTATTCGCCGCGTTTGATTTCTCCAGATGCGAGTACCCGAAACATAGCAACCTTGATTTGTCCTGCAGCTTCCGGTAGAGCATCATCGTCGTCCGAGTCTGAGCTGAAACTTTCGTCATCTGAAACGGTCTCGACCGGCGATTGGTCATCTGCCCCGTATCGTAGAACCTCTCGTGCCGTGGATCTCTTTCTTGGTGTCATCATGTCTGCGAGTTCATCATCACTGCCAATTTCCTCCTTTCTGCGCCTACGACGCTTCTCGAACTTTTGTCGACGCTTTTCGATTCTTGCAGCGGCATCTTGTCCGTCAAGATCAAGTCCGTTCAACCATCGCTCTAGTCCCACCTCACGGAACAAGAACTCTCGCTCAGCCAGTCCTCCTCCTTCAGAGTCTGGAACCTGAACCCATCGAGAATTTACCCATGTCTCTTCGCTTGGTCGTAAAAGAGTAGCCACTTCTTCCTTTGGTCTGCCATCAAAATAGATATATGCAGCGATTGTTTCATTTTCCGACTTGGTGATTGGTATGTAGGGACCGACTTGACCAGCGAAGTTTGTTTTCTCGCCAAAGCCAGGCAAACCAGTGACAGTTTGAGGCTGAGGATAAGGGTTCGCGGGGGTTGCTTTCGGTGTGCTATAAGGAATGGGAAGACCTGGGGTTAACAACGTAATTGAGATAGCAAACTTTGCGGCTTCAGGTTTATTTGTGGTCGAATCGCGGGGAATTTTGGGTTGAGGGACGGGGATGTATGTGTTAATACGACTGAATCTTGATTGTCGAGTTACTCCATATTCAGGGAGCGGTGATCCTTCAGCATGGACACTGACAGCAATACCTTTGAAGCAAGGCATTTTACCTCACCGATACAATATGGCAGACGAAGCTGCACAGCCTAGAATGTATAACTTATAAGTATTGTACTTTGTAATTGTAATTGTATTTGTGTTGAACGTGGGGGATGGATTAAAGTTGAAGAGACCGAGCTTTTGGAAAGCTCCGTCCGATTGTAGGTGATAATAAGGATGGGATGAGGAGGCTGAAGGTCTGGAAAGGGAAATGGATGGTTGCCTCTTTAGCGTACCTTGTTACTGAAAGCCTTGTGCGTTCGGTGCGTTTGTTTGAATGTTCTGGGCGGAAGTGGGAGTACAAGTAAGCAAAAGCCAATCGTTGGAGTGGTTGGAGTTGGGCTGGAAACTCCTTGACTTTTCCTCGAGTTGCAACTTGTTGCGGTTGTATGTCTTTGTATGTCTTTGAAGGGTGAGTTCGCGTCTGAGTTTGAGTTTGAGTTTGAGTTTGAGTTTGAGTACGGTAAGATGGTACCGGTAGGGAAGTTGAAGTTCATGTGCTACCAATACCAGGCAAAGAGATTCCAGATCAGAAAACAAATGAATTCCTCACGTTTCGCTAGGCTGAAGAACAACTGCACAGTGCAGACCAACAACAAGTCAAAAGGACTGATCGAAGAAAAGAAGAGGGGCATAAATATGACTTTTACCAACAATACCATGTATAATCAATAAGTCACAAGTGGTCATCACGAAAGTATTGATGTGTGGGAGGGAAGACAATACTAATAAATCCTAAATCACACCGCTTCATCATTTTGGACATGGAAGAATCTTCAAACGGAATATTGTTTCTCAAAGATGGCCTGGTTTGTGGTCAGAGTGAATCACTTCAATTCAATTCAATTCCCGAGAGCATTCATTTGGATGGGAGTATCCCGAGGTTCCTTCAGACAAAACTTGAGCCAAAAATTTATTATTATTACTATGTATAAAATAGAGAATCTTGAGCGATGGCATGAGAAATACTAGAATGAGTAAAATTATCTTCATAACCCGCCCCGGTGATTGATTGAATATAACGAACGAATCGTCCATATTTATCATGACCCCGCGTCGGTAAGCCATGGTTTGCTGGATTGAACTGTGTGCTTTGATGTGCGGCACCTGCAATCTGAAATATCTTCCATTTTGAAGATTCCTATAAAAATCTTGATGATTGTTAGCTAAATTCTCATCAAGATTTCTGCGACGATAATAATGAAGGGCATTTGATAGATGGAGTCAGACTGTTGAGCTTGATATATTGATTGAATCGACATGGTTATTCAGAAGGCCGTTCTTAATGGAAGGTTTTGTCATCATACAAAAAAATGCTGGGAAGTGTGTGCATGCGGTAAAGCAAAAGAAAACCACAAACATACCATGAGGATTAATCGCTGTTGAGAGCGGCTATTGTAAGTAGTTGGATCAACTTAAAAAGATAGAATATCAACATCGAATCAAAGTCAAATCCCTATCCATATCCATATCCATATTCTCATCAGGTAGAGGATGCTCGAGAAACGAAAGACTTTGTATGTGTGAATAGATGGGTTGAACAAATATTAGGCAAGTAAGATGGTTGAAAAACAAAAGCTTTGAATGGATTTAAAGGGAAGGGAAGGATTAAATTTTCGAGCTATTTGGCGACGTGACTAAGCTATATTAGGTAAAGCGTGTTACAGCCCAATTGTGGTGTCCACTCTACTGAAGTGTCTGGTATTCAAAATCACCCATAGAAACCCCTCTATAATTTCCCCTCCAAATCAAGCAAACCAACATCACAAAACATCCTTTCTAAATAACCTATCGTAAGAAAGTCTCATAAACTTGAAGCAAGATGGCCGGTAAGTTAATTAGTTCACATTCCGAGTATCTCACAGATAGGACCAATATGTTCAAAATTTACTTGATATTATCCATTCGTTAATTTATCTACATATCCATGATTCCGAGGCTGACTCTTATTCTATAGACTTCGAAAGTGTCGCAAGTAAGTTTGTGACATATTCCATCGCAGATGAAGAACGGCAACTAGCATCGAATCGTCCCGAAATCTATGTGCGATGATGCACGGCTGTTCGAAACTTCTAGCAGCGGCATGCTGACAAGGCCAACCTTTAATAGAGCAATTCACCGAATTCTACTACAACCAGTTCGATGCGGACAGAAAGCAGCTGGCTCCTCTTTACGTCAGTGCCAAAATTGCCCCGAAAAGATTTCTTGCTAATAAGCTTTCAGCGTGACAGCTCCATGCTAACTTTTGAGTCCGCTTCCGTCCTTGGAGCCGGTGCTATCGTAGAAAAACTTGGAGTAAGTTTCACTCCCTTCTTATGCAGATCAATACTAAAGCAGCCTGGTACAGTCTCTTCCTTTCGAGAAGGTCAAGCACCAAGTCTCAACTCTCGATGCGCAACCATCCGGACAACACGGTGGAATTTTGATTTTGATTACAGGAGCCTTGTTGGTAAGTCGAAACTTTGATAAGTTGCGCGCAAATAGAAGTCATTGCTGTGGCGTGGTACGTATCAGACGCTGACGAAAAAATCTTTCAGGTCGATGAGGAGCAAAGACCCATGAACTACAGCCAAGCTTTCCAACTTATGCCAGATGGAGCTGGAAGCTATTTCATTTTCAACGATGTCTTCAAGTTGGTATTCGGATAAATTATTAGCTGGGAATGTTGGGTAAATAGGAGGTTGGTGGTTGATAAGAGGAAGTGTTGGTCCATTTTGCAAAACTTTATACCAGGCCTTCTATCGTGAAGCAAGGAGAGGCAACGAAGTTATCAAATATAAAACGACATAAAAGGGCACAAGTCGATGATCCTCATATTTCCCCTCCATATCGTATGCATTTGCCGATCAAAATATATGTGGAGAGATAGACATTGTAACCCTCACCCCCCATAGTGTTGCACGAGCTTCAATGTTACCTGAGTACGATGAGGTAGAAACCCCCGAAGACAGCGTATGAATTCGCCATATCTATGTAATCGTTTCTTAGGCAGCTCTATTAAAAGTTCACATTTTCCTTTAGGACTCAGCCTCATTCAATCATTTCAGCCTTTGTGTTTCTTATTAAGGACTAGCGCCATACGCAACTTCTCGAATTCACAGAACACGAAACAAGTAACTCGTAGGAGTCAATTTATTTTCAAATTTGAGACCCATACACTTCTTCAATCCATTTACCCATCAAAGCTCAAGCGAAATAACTCGGATATTCTCTTACGAGTTTACTGCATCTTGAAACGATTTATGTGTTCGCAAAGAAACAAAAACAAACATTGAAGAACTCACAAACTACTGTACGGCTCTCCACATCAACTTGAACTTCACCTATACATACCCATACATCGACCCATTCAAACATTCATCAACCACACCTCGAATAAAGCAATTATGACTATCGCAGAGGAGTTCGCAACGCGCAATTTCAGTATGGATTCCTTTCCTAGAGCTTGTATAACTTCAGCTAATTGCGCTTCTAGGTATTTATGGTCAATGGTAAGAACATGCGACTCTTCCGAGCTCTCCATCAATCCCACTCAAGCCCATTACATCATGAAGCATTATCGACTTTGCTTGTCAAATTTTGTCGCAGCAAATACTCTTCTTCCTCGAATGTGCTAGAAGTTAGATGATGAACATTTGAGGATTGTGGAACAAACTTTCGAATTGGGTCTGACAGAATGATACAGGACTGGAGTTGTATGCATACTTCTATGCTTTGCCCTCGGGATTGCGAACCTCTTCCACATAAGCTTGCTTATCATCTTTAGTGCGCTATGCCTGTGAGTTTGAATTCCCCTTTCTACTTGATTTGTCAAAATTGACAAGTTCATTCTAGTGTGAGCTCTTTCCTCATCATCTTCATTGAAATTCCATTGCTTCTTCGAATTTGCCCCACATCCTCGACCTTCGACACCTTCATGCGCCGATTCACAACCAATTATATGCGCGCTGCTATCTACATGGGAATGGCTATTGTTCAATGGCTCAGCATCATCATTGCAGCATCAAGTCTCATCGCTGCCGCTGTCCTTCTCACCATTGCAGCTGGTTTCTACGCATTGGCTGGTCTCAAGGGACAAGGATTTGTGGGAAGCAAAACACTTGGTGGTCAAGGTGTCGCGCAAATGATCCTATAAACTTGTAACATCGGTAAAGAAAAAGAGTGAACGGAAACAAGTGGTTCAGATTTGAGTGAGAAGATGAGACTTACTTCATGGAGACGAGGGTGAAGCACAACTCTGAGGTTGATTTACGAAACAGAAAATGGGAGAGCATGTGGGTTTGGTGCAAGGCGTCAAGGGTATGGCAGCGCATTGAGTATGTCTGTTTGTTTTCATGTTTGATTTTTTCAGCCCAGAAAATCGGGAGTTTCTTGAGGCTTCAGATTCCCTCCTCTTGCGGGTGTACTTTTATACCTTCCATTTCTGATTTTCAAGACCAAAGCATCTCAGTGTATCTGGAATGCATCCTGTTCGTATATGCATTTTTTCTTTTCGTGTGGAGTTAGTCAGTAGATAATTCGGTATGAAATTCAACGGAATATGAGTTATGAAGCCTTTCTATGGAATTGTATTGAATGTTTAGTATAGTGGCATGACATATGAGCTGGTGAGCGAACGTGAAATTGGTATTATGAGATACTGGGTATGTCTTCCGAAGCAGTGTGACAATATTGAAGCTTTGTGTCACAATTCGCGGGATGTCATAATCAGGTATAGATCACGAGCTATTATGAGGATCTAAATGACTTATATGATGTTAATTGGATGTGAGATCTTAGGGGCAAGTTTCAGAGGTGGGAAGCTAGGGAAGACAGAAGCTCAGAAGCTCCAAGGCTCCGGTCGTACCGTACTTGTCATGAACCCCTCTTATTCACCGGAACAATAAATCTTCCATCTTTTCATCGCTTTACATATCCAATCACATTATCAAATACAAGCCAAAAGTCATGAGCCATGAGCCATAAGCCATAAGCCATAAGCCATTTAAATCGGTTTGTAAATATGAATACAAATGGAAAGTTGACCATTGGCTATGGCTTATTAGTGGGGTGTCGAAATCAGTAGATAGATACCTACTACCTATCATACTACTCGAGTAGATAGAGTTGTGTCTCACCAAAACCCCACCTATGATATACTCCCGTGTCTGGGCTTGGGTTTGAAGCATCGGTGAAGTGGTGAAGTACAACGAGGTTTTGGAGATAAGGATACATATGCACTCTGTACACTTTTGAAGGGAATCATATGTTTATATGTACCTAGTATATATCTATATCAATATCATATTGAAGTGTAGTGTGCTTTCGGAAACTACAGCTAAAAAATATCTGAATGCATTTTTGATTCACACTTTTCTTGAATCCTTATGCTGTAATTAGTAACGATGACGATTTCTTAGACGCATTGCTTGGGGTCACATATCCTCCCAGAATCCTTGCTTAGCGTTCAAGCCGGACAATATCAAAGAACGCAAATAAACCAACTTCATGTCGACTTAATACCCCTCAATCCAAACAGATCAGCTTCGATGATTGAACTTTAACTTTTGATTGTCTTCAATTATTTGCACTTTGGTACGTTTCCCCATTGTCAACTACCCCTATCGAGTCGTTTGTTCGCAGATTGTACAGAAAGCGTCGAAGCCGTCATGTCTACTACTGTCTCATCTCAGTTTTAAGTCTACGGCGACGAGTTCGAGTTTCAATTGGGAACATTTGATTGTGCTGTACAACATGCTACTTGAATCTCTCAATACTCCGCACGGAGAGTCTACTTATTTGCTTTCAGAGCGTATCATAATTCACGATTGGCTCGATAAATCGGCATTGCTTATTTAATATCTTGTTGGCTGAAGTCTAATCCAGTCAACTATCACTCTTCTGGATAGCACATAACGGGTCCTAATATAAACAAGAAATCTAGGCCGTTACACTTCCCATCAATTTCCACAACCTCTATACATTTAACAAATATGTCGACGGGGACCCCACAAGTACCTCCTAGACCTAATAAGTCCCAGGAGCAGGGTCACACCTCTTCTGGTGCTCCCTCTCTTGGTAGCAACATACCGCAAATACCTCCAAGACCTGCCAATAGACGTGCCGATCGCTCCGTCTCCCCTGCTCGTGAGAGCTTCGCGCGATCTCCTCTCAATGATATGCCTATTCAACAAAGCCATGGAAAGTCCTCCTTGTACGCCATGAACAGTGCCAATAGCTCAACAACAGAGCTCGAGATCCCGCACCGCCCATCGAGTGTAGCTCTGCCTTCCATCGGCCAAGAGGGCAATGAATACGCGGAGGTTTTTGGAGCATCGGAGGATCTCGGTTCATCGCCAACTCAAACGAGGAATGTTGCAAACGATTTGAAGCTTCATGCTCCTAAGCCTTCTCATCCCGAGTCCAGTGCTAAGCAGAGGGTATCTGCGGTCACTCGTACCGATTCTGGTCAAGCTGCTGCATATGGCATAGGCAAAGCTGGAAATGATAAAGATCCTGGCTCTCGATCTTTGAAGAACAAATCAAGCTTTGCTAGCAATGCTTCCGCCATCGAGCGTCCCCCATCGAGTACCGGTCATGAGGATGAGCATGGAATTCCTGAGATTGGGCAACAAGTTCCAATGTATCCAAATGCAGGAGACGTTCAAGCACCATCTCCATCGCCATACTCAACTCCCTACACTCCTGGCATTGGCTTCCACAACGATGGATCAAAGCGTCATCATGAGCGTAAAATAAGTGGTCGTGGAGCAGACATTCCACCAGGAAGTTATGGTCTTCACGGACACGGCATTATTCCACACGATCGCTTTGAAAAGGCTTATTATGAAAAGCACCCCGAGGTAAGTTAACAAGTGAATTCAGTTTGATTGCGTGAAGTCTAGTTGCATGGACAAATGAAGGTTACATAAGTATTTCATATTACTTAAGTGATAGTATCATCAAATGATACATGCTATTTCAAGTTATATTCTAATCGTATTCTACAGCTTTACAAGAAAGAGACTGCTTCTTATCACGGACCTCTCGGCGAAGGCAGAGCAGAATGGGCTATGAGCAGTGACGACTTGAACAGAATTGTTAGAGACACTGCTAGTAGAGGTGCTGGTCTTGGTAAGGTTTACGAATGTGCTATCCCTATATGATTCTAATCATGAATAGGCACATCTCCAGCAGTGATGAGTACTCCTACCGAGCAAATAGGATTTCAAGCTTCTGAAGAATATGCGTCTCGCATGTCCTCCCCTCGCCCACAATCTAGCGGACAACAATCCACTGGATACAACGTTGCGCATTCTAATGCATCTCAAACGCATGTTGATTCGCCTTTGAAGAAAGAAAGCTTTCCTCTTGACGGTTCGAAGAAAGCCGAGTTTGAGGGTGCCTTGTCAAAAAGTCTTGATGACAAGTCTGAACGTGCCTACGAGAGCGAAGCCGATCCTGAAGATACCATTCACATTGATGCCCCTAGTCGACGTTCTAGTAGAATAATCGATCCGGCGAATGAATCAAGACCATATTCAGCGGCTGGTAGAGATGAAGATGAGCTTCGTGAGGAACATGGATACAGCGCTCCCATTCTTGCTTCTGATGAAGTTTCAAAAGAGAATTTCGGATACGAGCTACAACCTGCCGTTTCTCCATCATT